ATAGCTCATAAAGAAATACACCATCTCGCGGTGTGGCGTGGAAGAGTACATTTTCAGTATCTATGAAAATAAAATTTATAAATAGAAGCTTAGAATCTTTATGGATGTTAAAATAATGATTTTGAATCTTGTTTCCGCGGTCTTTGATCGACAGGAAGAAACAGAAATTTGGAAGCCATATTCCAAGATAGCTAAGGATGTGATATTTTTAGAGGTTAAACGAATGTACGTGCTGATTTTCTATTTGACGTGAACAAAACAAACACCGCGCTCGCACACACACACGCATATATAATATATATATATATATATATATATATATATATATATATATATATATATATATATATATATATATATATATATATATATATATATATATATATATGTATGCATGGTATTTGTATGTATAATACATCATACACACACACAACACACACACACACACACACACACACACACACACACACACACACACACACACACACACACACACACACACATATATATACATAGACTATGTATGTAATTATACATATATACATATTTATATGTATATATATATATGTACACACACACATACATACACACATACACATATATATATATATATATATTATATATATATATATATATATATATATATATAATATTATAATATATACATATATATATACATATATATATGTATATATATATGTATATATATATATATATACATGAATATAATATATAATATATATGTATATACATATGCATCATATATGTATATATATATATATATATATATATATAATATATATATATATATACATATAACATGTAAATCTATTCATAAATATCTGTATATATATTTGTGTGTATATGTGTGTGTGTGTGGGGGGGGGAGGTATACACAGACATGCACATATAGATGTAAAAGTTGATATAATTGTGGATATACTCACATATCAGTATACAGTACATGCATAAAGACGCACATACACGAACGCCCACACAAACGCAGACACATGTATATGCACACATATAAATACATACATATATATACGTATATATAAATAGATCTAGACAGGCATACATGAATATGCACACATACATGCATGCATGTGGATTTATTTAGGCATATGTGCAAGGAACATTCTGATTAACTCAGTTGGATAAAAACTTTTACCCTTTCCGCACGTGGACCTGATCTAGAAGGACAGCATAATTGGCAAGTGGCAACTTCTGCCTCTCTTGCGAAGATAAATACCCGCATTGAGTCTGGTGAGAAGCAGATCAGTCGCACAGTCTGTAACATGAAATTTGTAAGTATTTCCAAGTCGACCATTGCTGAAAATGAATCGTTATTGCTTCTGAAAATTATGAATCCCACGACTGATACTCGTGATGTTGAAGAGTTGGTGTGCTGTTCAATAAGAATCATTTGAATTTGGACTGAATAAGTCATCAGTCTACGATGAATACCTTGCAGATTCTTCTTGCCGTGTTTGCCTGCGTGGCTGCTGCCGCCCCTCAGGGATATGAAGCCCCTGCACGTTCTCGCTCTGACTCCGACGAAGTGCCCATCCTGAGGGACGACCGCGTGATCGATGACGACGGAAGGTACAACTTCGACGTGGAGACAGGAGACGGCATCGTGGTGTCAGAGTCCGGTGGTCCCAGCGCCGATGGAGGCATCAACAGCGCCGGTTCTTACTCGTGAGTATTCGGGAAAAAACAACAAAACAAAACATAGATAGAAACTATAACAATACGGGACGGTTACAAATCGTAACAAAACCATGATACTTATCTCGTCATCCACTTTCTCTTCATTAGCTACACCGCTCCTGACGGCACTCCCGTGCACGTGGAGTTCGTGGCTGACGAGAACGGCTTCCAGCCCCAGTCCGACCTCCTGCCCGTGGCTCCCGAATTCCCCCACCCGATCCCCGACTTCGTCCTCGACCAGATCGCCTTCGCCGCCGAGGAGGACGCTCGCAGGGCCAAGGAACCCTCCAACAGATACGGCGCCCCTTAGTCAGAATGTGTAGATAGTACAATGTTCTGTTGTTGAAGATTTCCATGCTCTTACTATTTAATCATAGATCAAAATAAATAATATAATGTTACATATATTTTCACTTCATAACGAAAATATCCTTTTATGTTAATTATGACTGGTCTTTCAAAAAATAATCGGCTAGCATAAAGTATAGATGATAATGAATGAAAGGAACGCTGCAGGCACACATACGATATTTTTCTGTCTTAAAAACGAAAAATATGCAGCAAGAATGCGATTTTGTTCTAATGTGTCGAAATGAAGAGGGGACAGTGTGTTCACCTTTAAATAGAAAAAAAAGACGTGTGAATTTAAGTATCTTCGCTGGAAAAAAACTGTACAAGTACACATATTTGTTTATATGTATACATCCATTCATACACGCACGCATATATAGGAAACATCTGGCACAGGCGCCTTCGCCCGCCATAACCAAGAAACCAAAAAGACGGATTGATGTTTCAAAATCATCAATCACCGTAGCAAATTGTTTCGATGCAGCCACTAAATGGACTTTTTTTATATATAGCTTTTAGCTAATAATTCTTAGATAAACATAAAAGACTAAGTACAACTACGTTATTTTAACAGCTTTCAATCATTAAGCATTATCGTCTGCATCACATTACCCTTCCTAACTTTATACGTGAAAAATGTTGATAACAAATTCGCTGGCTCTCGAGAGCGCCATTATTTTTTATTATATATATATATTATTATATGTATATATATATATATATATATTATATATATATATATATATATTATATATATATATTTTTTTTTTTTTTTTTTTTTTTTTTTTTTTTTTTTTTTTTTCAGGCAACCACATCTTCCTGGATCTCTGTGTCAGTGTTTGTTGACCGACAGCCAATGGTTCTGTTCACCTAGGGGCGGAGGGGACGAAATAATTTAGAAAAAAAAAATGCACTAATCTCTGTGCTAAACATTGGCTTGCAGCTTTCTTTGACCTCTACAAATAATAAACCACAAACCATTCCAGTAACTAAGCCTGCTTTTTCCCACCATCTTGGAAAATAACCGTAATTAAAATAGATAAGTAAATAAATAAATAAAGTTGGTTTGAAAAGTGAGAAGCATAACTGCATAACTATTTACGAAAACATGTCATATGTCATTTTTTAAAAATTCGAGTAACGTATTAAATTACAATTCATGGAGTGAATGAAATGAGATACTACGCGATTCATGATAGAGTAAATAGCTTCATCTTTATGTAACATACACAGGACTTCTATTTCCTTATATGGTACCTGCGTAATCATTCACTGGAAATTATTTATTTGCTGCTTTCCTTAGTGAAGAAAGTCAGTGTGCTTTCAATAATAACGACATTTAAACCATTTAGACACTGATGTATAACACAAACAAACGACTGATGATGCAGCTTAGTTGATCATTAAGATAATTATACATGAATGTCTACATTGTTCAAAACCAGTCACTGGCACTGACCTTGTGTGACAAAATCAGTTTCAAGACAACATTTCCTTCGAGTATGTCACTTGGATTAGCTTTGACAATGCAACTTGTTATCCCTTGATTCATGGGGCGTTGGAAGGGTCTGGGTTGGAAATTAAATATATCTATGAAAACGCCACTCATATATATATATATATATATATATATATATATATATATTATATGTGTGTGTGTGTGTGTGTGTGTGTGTGTGTGTGTGTGTGTGTGTGTATGTGTGTGTGTGTGTGTGTGTGTGTGTGTGTGTGTGTGTGTGTGTGTGTAAAGCGTAGAACGTTTTAGGATGTGAAACTAATGATTTTGAATGCTGTTACTACTATCTTTTACCAATAATTTCACGAAAAAGGAAGAAACAGAAAATTGGAGACCATTTTCGAAGGGTGGATGAAAGGGTCTATTGATATTCTATGTTATTTTCAGATGGAAAAGGATATATATAATATATATATATATATATATATATATATATATATATACATTTATATGTTTATGAATATATATATACATAATACATTACACACACACACACACACACACACACACACACACACACACACACACACACACACACACACACACACACACACACACACACACACACACACACACAACACACACACACACACACACACACACACACACACACAAGCTCAATGTCAACATCAATAAGATTCAAGAGTAAGGTACTGAGCATTAGCGTATATCACGACTAAGCATATATGCTTATATGGTTTTATGTATTTACATTCATATATATGTAAATATATGTATATATATGTATATATATGTGTTCATATATGTATACATATGTATATATATGTACATATATATGTATATATATATATATATATATATATATATATATATATACATATATTTATATATATAATTGTATATATACATATATGTATATATATATATATATATATATATATATATATATATATATATATATATATATATATATATGTGTGTGTGTGTGTGTGTGTGTGTGTGTGTGTGTGTGTGTGTGTGTGTGTGTGTGTGTGTGTGTGTGTGAGTGTGTGAGTGTGTGCATATATATGTGTTCATATATGTGTTTGTGCGTGTCTATATATTTGTGGAAATAAGTATCAGTAAACACTACACACACATATACTCGTACATAATTGCACTAATATATACATACATACATGTATATATACATATATATGTATATATACATATATATGTATATATATATTACAAATAGATGTAGATATACTTAGGCATATGTTTACATGCATGCATAAATACATACCTGTATATGTAGAATATGTGCATGAGTGTGTTTATCTGTCATCCATATTCTAAAATGTGACTTATTTGTCTATATGTTCAATGAACATATATTTTTACTCAACACTGAATAAAACAACTTTTGGCATACCACACGTGGACCTGAACTAGGACAATATAATTGGCAAGTGGCAACTTCTGCCTCTCTTGCGAAGATAAATACCCGCATTGAGTCTGGTGAGAAGCAGATCAGTCGCACAGTCTGTAACATGAAATTTGTAAGTATTTCCAAGTCGACCATTGCTGAAAATGAACCGTTATTGCTTCTGAAAATGATGAATCCCACGGCTGATACTCTGAAAACTTCGTGATGTTGAAGAGTTGGTGTGCTGTTCAATAAGAATCATTTGAATTTGGACTGAACAAGTCATCAGGCTACGATGAATACCTTTCAGATTCTTCTTGCCGTGTTTGCCTGCGTGGCTGCTGCCGCCCCTCAGGGATATGAAGCCCCTGCACGTTCTCGCTCTGACTCCGACGAAGTGCCCATCCTGAGGGACGACCGCGTGATCGATGACGACGGAAGGTACAACTTCGACGTGGAGACAGGAGACGGCATCGTGGTGTCAGAGTCCGGTGGTCCCAGCGCCGATGGAGGCATCAACAGCGCCGGTTCTTACTCGTGAGTATCCGGAACAAAAACCATATAGATAGAAACTATAACAATACGGGACGGTTACAAATCGTAACAAAACCATGATACTTATCTCGTCATCCGCTTTCTCTTCATTAGCTACACCGCTCCTGACGGCACTCCCGTGCACGTGGAGTTCGTGGCTGACGAGAACGGCTTCCAGCCCCAGTCCGACCTCCTGCCCGTGGCTCCCGAGTTCCCCCACCCGATCCCCGACTTCGTCCTCGACCAGATCGCCTTCGCCGCCGAGGAGGACGCTCGCAGGGCCAAGGAACCCTCCAACAGATACGGCGCCCCTTAGTTAGATTGTGTAATGTTGTGTAGATAGTACAGTGATGTTCTGTTGTTGAAGATGTACTTGCTCTTTCTATTTAATCATCGATGAAAATAAATGATACAATATTACATATATTTTCATTTCCTAAGGATAATGTCCCTTTATGCTAATTATGACTGGTCTTTAAAAAATAATCGGCCAGCATAAAGTATAGATGATAATGAAAGGATCGATACGGTCACAGAAACGTTATTTATCTGTTGCAAATAAACGCAGAATAGGCAGGTAAGAATGCGATTCTGTCCTGAGTCGAGATGGGAGAGGGGACAGTGTGCTCACCTTTATATAGATAAAAAAGAAGAAAAAACTCATATAAATTCAAGTATCTCGCTGGAAAAAAAGCTTGTACTCGAACACATATATTTGTTTATATGTATACATCCATTCAGACACGCACGTAACTATAGAAACATCTGGCATAGGCGCCTTCTCTCGCCATAATCCCATAATCAAGAAACTAAGAAGACGGATTCATGTTTTAAAATCATATCAGCCACTAAAGGAAGACGATGTTTTTTAGCTAATAATTCTTGAATAAACATAAAAGACTAAGTACAACAATGTCACTCCAACAGCTTGCAAATAAAGGAAGACTTTTTTTTTTTTTTTTTTTTTTTTTTTTTTTTTTTTTTTTTAGCTAATAATTCTTGAATAAACATAAAAGACTAAGTACAACAATGTCACTCCAACAGCTTGCAAATCAGTAAAGGTTATCTGCATCACACTTCCTTTCATAACTTTATGCTTAAAAATGTTGATAACAAATTCGCTTCCTCTTGAAAGCGCCATTTTTTTGTCACTTTCAGAATACCATGTCAACCTGGATTCTGCGTCAGTTTGTTGACCGAGCAGCCAATGGTTCCGTTCACCAAGTGGCGGAGAGGCGTTTCTCCCACCGAAATAGTAAAAAAAAAAAAAAAAAAAAAAAAAAAAAAAAAAAGACTAATCTCTAGGACGCTAAATATTGATATGCAGCTTCCTTAGCCCTCTAGAAATAATATACCATAAACCATTACAGTAACTAAGCCCGCTCTTCTCCCGCCATCTTAGAAAAATGACCGTCATTTCGAAAAATATAGTTGGTTTGAAAAATGAGAAGCATAAAATTTACGAAAACATGTCGTATGCCCAATTTTTTTCATAGAGTGACGGTTACAATACGAGTAATGGAGTGAATCAAATGAAAATACTACGCGATTCATGATGGGATAAAGAATTCTTTATGTAACACACACAGGACTTCTATTTTCTTATATGGCGCCTGCGTAATCATTCACTCTGATTCATTTGTTTGCTGCTTTCCTTAGTCAAGAAGGTCAGTTTGCTTTCAGTAATAACGACTTTTAAACCATCAAGACACTGATGTACAACGCTCTGAATATTCAACAAACAAGCAACTGGTGATGTATATTAGTTAATAATTATGATAGTTATACAAGAATGTCTAAATAGTTCAGAACCTGTCATTGATACTGACCTTGTGCGACAGGAGCGGTTTCAAGACAACATTTCCCTCAAGCATGTCGCCAGGAACAGCTCTGACAATGCAACTTGTTATCCTTTCATTCATGGGTCACTGGAAGCCTCTGGGTTGGTCCAGTTCCCACCGACTTATCGTTAGAAATTCTAGCTATCGAAGTGGGTAACTCTTCGATAAAGAAATAAGGAAAATAAGCACCTTACTCCCTAGGTCTATTGCAATGACACGTCCAATCAAGGAAAATAATACTAGGAAAAAAATTACAGAGGTGAAAAAGAAACAAAACAGAATTAATGTGTATTAGGCCTCCGGGGATAGCATATAAAGAAATAGACCTCCGTACTATATCTACTTGTGTGGCGTGGACAGAGTACTTCATTTTTAGTTTTTTTTTTTTCTGAGAAATCAAATACATCTATGGAAACACGGCTCTTATATAAAAAGTTTAGAACCTTTTAGAATGTGAAACTAATGATTATGAGTGTTCTTTCTACTATTGTTTTATCATCAATTTCACGAAAAAGGGAGAAACAGAAATTTAGAGTGCATTTTTTGAAGAGTGGATGAAAGGGTCTATTGATATTCTGTTATTTTAAAGGGAAAAGGAATTTACGTGCTGATACACATACACATATATATTATATATATATATATATATATATATTATATATGTGTGTGTGTGTGTGTGTGTGTGTGTGTGTGTGTGTGTGTGTGTGTGTGTGTGTGTGTTGTGTATGTGTGTGCATATATTATATGTTATATATGTATATATATATACATATATATATATATAATATATATATATATATATATATATATATATATATATATTATATAATATATGTACATATATATGTATTGTTATATATGTGTGTGTGTGTATATATATATATATATATATATATTATATATATATATATATATATATATATATATATATATTATATATATATATATTATATATATATATATATATATATATATATATACATAATACATTAAACTCACACACACAGGCACAATATCAATATGATTTAAGCGTAAGGAGCGTTAGCGTATATCATGATTATATATATATGCATATGCTATATATATATATATATATATATATATATATATATATATATATATATATATATATATGTATGTATGTATGTATGTATATATGTATTTATAAAGATGTATATATATAATATATATATATGTGTATATATTGGTGGAAATACGAAAGTGTCAGTAAACACATACACACATATATATACTCGTACACACAAACACTTATATATACATACATACATATATAAATACATACATATATGGACGTACATATATACGAATAGATGTAGATATAATTAGATATAAGTGAAGAGACTCACATTTACATGTATGCAGAAATACACACATGCATGTGTAGTTTATGTGCATTAGTGTGTGTTTATCTGTCTCACATATTCTTAAATGTAATTATTTGTGTATATGCTAAATGGACATGTGTTTTTATTCTTCACTAAATACAACAACTTTTGCCTTACCGGACGTGAGCCTGAACAAAAAGGACAATATAATTGGTAAATGGCAACTCCTGCCTCCCTGGCGAAGATAAATACCCGCATTGAGTCTGGTGAGAAGCAGATCATTCGCACAGTCTGTAACATGAAATTTGTAAGTATTTCCAAGTCGACCATTGCTGAAAATGAATCGTTATTGCTTCTGAAAATGATGAATCCCACGGCTGATAATCTGAAAACTTCGTGATGTTGAAGAGTTGGTGTGCTGTTCAATAAGAATCATTTGAATTTGGACTTTGCTGAACAAGTCATCAGTCTACGATGAATACCTTGCAGATTCTTCTTGCCGTGTTTGCCTGCGTGGCTGCTGCCGCCCCTCAGGGATATGAAGCCCCTGCACGTTCTCGCTCTGACTCCGACGAAGTGCCCATCCTGAGGGACGACCGCGTGATCGATGACGACGGAAGGTACAACTTCGACGTGGAGACAGGAGACGGCATCGTGGTGTCAGAGTCCGGTGGTCCCAGCGCCGATGGAGGCATCAACAGCGCCGGTTCTTACTCGTGAGTATTCGGAAGAAAAGATATAGATAAAAACTATAACAATTTTCGGGACGGTTACATATAATTCGTAACAAAGCCATGATACTTATCTCGTCATCCACTTTCTCTTCATTAGATACACCGCTCCTGACGGCACTCCCGTGCACGTGGAGTTCGTGGCTGACGAGAACGGCTTCCAGCCCCAGGGCGCCCACCTGCCCGTGGCTCCCGAGTTCCCCCACCCGATCCCCGACTTCGTCCTCGACCAGATCGCCTTCGCCGCCGAGGAGGACGCCCGCAGGGCCAAGGAACCCTCCAACAGATACGCTGCTCCTTAATCAAATGTATTACAGAATGTGTAAATATGTTATGATGTTCCGTTGTTGAAGATTTGCATGGTCTTTCTATTTAATCATTAATGAAAATAAAAAAAAAATTGAAGTTACATAAATTTTCAATTCCTTAGGAAAATATCTCCTATCATGGTTATGACCGGTCTTCCAAAATAATCGGCCAGCATAAAGTATAGATGAAAATTAAGGAAATAATGCACTTCATTTATTTGTAACAAATAAACGCAAAGTATGTAGAAATATACTCAGAAGAATGTGATTCTTTTAGTGTAGATAACTAAAGGAAGAGATAAAAAGGAAACTTACACATGCATAAGCATATTTTTTTTTGTGTATAAGCATCAATTTATATTTATACATACATACATCCAGGCACACACACACATGATATATCTGGGATAGATACATTATAATCAAGAAACCGAAAGGACAGATTAATGTTTTGAAATCATGAAATCATTAAAAAATATTCACAAATATAATTACTACGGTCACTAAAAGACTTTGACTTTCTACTTTTAGCTGATAATTTTTAGTACACACATGAAGTAAATACAACATCGCACTTTTAACTTTTAACAGATTTCAAATCATTAAGCATTATCAGCAGCAACACTTTCCCTTCCTAGAATCGTTCTTTAAAATGTTTGTTAGCAAATTAAATATCACTGGAGAAGTCCCTTTTCTATTACTCTTAGACAACCATATCTGCCTGGATCACGGTGTCAAGTCTGGTGACCGAGCAGCTGATGGCTCTGCTCACCCAGTGGCTGAGAGGACATTTCACCCTCAGAAATAGCCGTCAGATTAGAAAAAAATAAATACATTAATTTATAGGAAGTTAAAAATGGCATGTGGCTTCCTGTATCGCACCAAAACGCACCGAACTTTCTCCGCCATCTTGGAAAATGTATCCTGAAATTTCACTTTTTCTTTCCTGAATATGCTTGACTTCAAGTGGTAGACAAATATCTACATGACAGGTCCTAAGACACTTTTCTCTTAGAGTGACGGTTTCACACAGTACAGGTGTTTGTATGTGGTCTTTATAAGTGGTAACTTATTTATTTGATGATTTCATTAATTCAAAAAGTAAACATATTTTCTTGTAACAACAGTTTTTTAAATCATTTAAGCACTGATGTATACGTGGCTGAATGATCAACTAAAAAGTGAATGATGATT